TTGATAGCCTTGGAATTCGGGCCTCGGTTGGAACGGTGGTGGGTTATTCGGTTGAGCATATTGTTGAGGTTGGTTGTAGGGTTGTTGCGGTGTCGGTTGGGGTGGGTAGGTTGCTTTCGAGTCCCTCCAAGAAAAGTTAGGGTGGTTTCGCCACCCGGAATTATAAGTGTTCGAGTACGGATCATTTTGGACTCGGGGGGAGTAACCTTGGATAGCGTTGATGTCGTAGGGGACTCCTTCAAGATTTGGATTGTAGGCCGGCATCATATAATTCGGGCACGCATGTCCTTCGTGGCCGGCCTCTCCACAACACCCGCATACTTCGGCCATCACCACTTGAGTCGACTTGGCATCCCTTAGTCGAAGTTGCTTTAATTCCTCTTCCAACGAGGCGAGCTTGGCGAGAACGGCATCGTTCGAGGACCCGGTGGTTTGTGCAGCCTCATTAACCGGGGCCCTCTTACGAACGCTCTTCCTTTGTGAATTCTCACTCAACATCTCATAAAGATTATAAATCTCCTCCTCCGCGTGGCTCCCTATGTCTCCACCGGCCGCATGATCGACCATGTATTGAAGAGTTTGGTGGAGACCATCGTAGAAGAATTGGTTGAGCACACCGAGGCAAAAGTGGTGATGTGGACATTGGAGTTGATAGCCCTTGAATCGTTCCTAAGCCTCGTGGAAAGTCTCACCGATATTTTGGCTAAAGCTAGCCATTTGAGTCCGGAGGTCGGTGGTCTTTTGATGAGAGTAGTACTTGCTCATGAACTTTTCGTAGACGGCTTCCCACGTGTTGAGAGAGCTCGGAAGCAATGTCATGAACCAAGTTTTGGCTCGGTCTTTCAAGGTGCACGGGAAGCATCTCATGCGGAGTTGGTTCTCGGTTAGGCCTTGGAGAGGGAACGTGTTGACGGTTGCATAAAAGTCTCGGATGAAGTTGAGAGCATCCTCTTGGGCAAGGCCATAGAATGATGGGAGTTGATTTAAGTGGATGGTCTTGAGGTTGTAATTTCGGGCCGCCTCCCCGAGCACGAGGCACGAGGTGTTGTCTCCAATAATCGGTCGTGCAAAGTACCTCATGTTCGGGGGAGGTTGTGGAAGTTGATTATCTTGTCCCGCCATCGGTTTGGGTTCGGGTTGCGGTTGAGGTTCTTTGATATTAAGTTCAACAAAGAGATCGAATGGGGGTGTCTCCTTCCGGGGTCTTCCTCGTCGTCTACCTTGCATAAACACAAACAACAACTATACCCGTGAACGCACCAATGGGAAACAAGGTAAAACACAAGCAACAAAAACAAACAAACGACAAAAAGCAAGAGAAATAAAGAGAAACACGGAAATTAACCAAGGTTCACAAAAATCAAGAGAAACACGAGAAAAATAGACAATCAAATAGCAAACTAGGCGTCCTACTTGCCTTCCCCGGCAACGGCGCCATTTATTTAGTATAGATTTGATGGGTAAGGGATAACCGAGTTACCCGACTCGGGTCAATCTCGAGGGAAGGCTATTCGGAGCTTTACTCACTAAATGATCGTCCAAATCACAAAAAGGGAAAATAAAATCCTAAACATTCTAAGCAATTGATTGGATGGGTTGATTAACACTAAATGAGCAATCAAAGACTAGCAATTAATTAAAAGCAAGATCAAATGACGAGCAATTAGCTAACTAGATCACTGGAGTCTCATGCCTTAACTATAACGAGATGATAATCAATCGACATACGGAATAAACGAGCTACGAGCATTAGATTGCTAACCCTAGTCGTCTAACCGAGATCAACAAGTAATTAACGGCTCTATCTACTCAAGCAAACAATCAAGTTCAAGCATTTCCACCATCATCAATCAAATCCAATTTACTCTAATGAACATTATAAGTAAAACCGGAACAAAAACGAAGTAAAGAGCTTTAAATCTAAATACTCAATCTCCCATTGCGTAGACGATGAAAAACGGAGTCAAAAGCTCGAAACTTGAAAGAAACCGAAGTCGCCGGAAAATCTCCCGGAAAATAGCATAAGCTCCTAATCTAGAGAGCAAAATAGAACATAAGCTAAGAACCAAAAAAGGAAAAATGAAATAATGAAAGTTGGATCCCCAAAATACAAAGCATAAAATGTATTTATACTACTAAGCAAAACACACACCAAAACACACACATTTAATGATAAAAACTCGCTAGATAGGTTGAACTCGCAGGTTAGGTCTTTGATTTCGCAGGATAGTTTCGCTAGGAGGTGGAACTCGCAGGATACGTGAATCCGCAGGATAGAGGATGAAAACTCGCAGGATAGCATAAGGAATTCGCAGGATAGAGTGAACTCACAAGATAGCACATATTCGCAGGATAGAGGTGCATTTTCGCAGGCTCTAAATTTCTTCTTTGTCCCGACCGCTAGCTCGACTTTTAAGGCTCTTAACTCGACGCATACTCCTCCAATCGACTCGGAACTTCCTTTCAACCTACAAAAACACCAAAATGCACAAAGAGATAGAACAATATACGAAAATGACTCAAAAACGAAAAGCTACTAAAAATGAACAAACATGGACCGGGACTTACAAACCGAACTTAAAAAGACTCGAATCAAGCAAATAAAAATGCAAGAAAAACACACAAAAACATAACAAACAAAATACGGCTTCATAAGTATCGTGAGGTTCAAAAAAATATTTTTATGTATTTTTTTTATAGTTTTGGCTCGATTTTGACTCGTAAATGCTCGATCTCGGCTCATTAGTATTGATAAACAAGTCGAGCTGGAGCTCGAATATAAGTTCGTTGAGGGCTCAAGCACCATGAGCTAGAGCTCGAATCGACTCGTTTATTCCTTGTGTTCCATCACATAAACACTATTCACCCACTCAAATTATTATATATACAACTTCACTACAAGAAAATGATGATATTCGAACGAAAATATATTCAATCGAATTATTCCAACGACTTTCAATGGATATTTCAATGTTATTACTTTCGTTGGGATTTTTCAATTGATTCCAACGTAAATTCCAACAACAATATCTTGTTGGAATGAGTTTTCCAATGGAATTTCTATTGAATTTTGACAATTCCAATGATAGATTTTCTAAAGAGGTTGGAAATAAAAATTCCAACGGAAATTGCATATTTCAACGGAAATTCCTACGATAAAAAATTGTTTGAATAATCAAATTTGATCTAAATTAGTTCCAATGAAAAATACATAAACAGAATATTTTCGTTGGAATCATTCCAATGGAAGCTATACAATTGAAATATCCGTTGAAATTTCCATTAGAATATATTACCATAAGATTTTCCGTTATAACAATTTTTTTATAGTGTTTTATCAATTAATATTTTATTATTTTTATATCAAATCATTAATTTTTTTTATCTTAAATTCGTTCATAGTTTCAAATATATCACATTTTAATATATATATATATATATATGTATATATATAATATTTCACTTTTTCGCTCGATATATATTTTTTAAGAAAAATCTCATACCCAATCACAAACAAATAAAATCTATCATGATTATTTATTGGGCTAGAAACACAGTTTGAGCTGTCTCGATATTTACACGTGATTGTTAACACATTTTGTTTGTTATTTTTGGACTTCCACATGTGTTTTCGATTTTCACGTGAGTTTTCGACGATACCACGTAAGAAAGCAGGTGCCGGTATCCGTTTGACATGCTTCGATTTGCCAAATGTCTAAAGCTGATGTGCTTAGTTGCAAACTTTGAAAGGTGGTGATAAAAGTGCAAAAAGTTAGAAGGTGGTGCATTTTGATGCAATTTTGCCTTTAGACAATGGCCCAATTATAGGACTAATTTTGAATTTTTGCCACTATAGAATTTCCGGTGGAATATAATAAATTTTTTTATAGTATTTTATCAAGTAATATTTTATTACGTTTATATCAAATCATTATTATTTTTTATTTATTTATTTATTTATTTTTATCTTAAATTTGTTCATAGTTTCAAATATATTTTTGCTCGATATATTTTTTTAAGAAAAATCTCATATCCAATCACGAACAAATAAAATCTATCATTATTGGGATAGAAACACACAGTTTGAGCTGTCTCGATATTTACACGTGAATGTTAACATAAAAAATGAAGTTTATGGGAAATAAATGGGCCTCAGTCATCACATCTTGATCTTGATATCATCCTCCGACCAACAGTTCTCGTGGATGCAAATTGACAAAGGTACTAAAGGCCATTTTAATCGACCATTATAGCATTTATTTTCAATGCCATTTTATTTTTATATATTTAGAAATTCATCATTTCAATTAAAAATAAACCAACTTTTATAGTTTTTAATCTTGTTACTTATTCAAATTATATTATTTTTGGGTTTATTGCAGCATATAAATTGTTTTATGTATATTTTTTATTTTCAATGTCGTATTTCTATAGAATAAATATATAAAAAGTATAGTGAACATGTAAAGTAATTGAAATTAATTAGTGCTAAAATCAACTTTTAATTAAATCAAAAGAAAACAAACAAGTAGACATATAACAAAATACAAAATTTCTATGGAGCAATCAGATGGTTTTCTTATGGAGTCATTCATTATTTAATGTATCGACACATGTCCAAATGGTATTTATTGTAAAACACGTGTCAATACACCATTTGTAAGACACGTGTAAATAACTATGAATGACTTTATAAGCCGAGTCATCTCATGGCTCAATAAAAGAACTGAAACAAAATATCACTTTCTCGATCTAATACATGATCTCAACGTGAGCAAAATAATGCCCACTCTTCTATATTATTGTACAGATGTAACGCCACACATATTTATCACACTAAAACAGTAATAATCAAATAAAAACTAATACATATCATTTTCTTCAGCTGTGTTGACTGCCAAAGACTTCAATAAATACCTCCAAAAGTCCATCTCAAACTATATTGATTGAATACACATTTGAAGTAATAAAGAGCTCTCCATTAATTCTAAAACAATATTATGAAGAATAATATTAATAATCCGTCGTCATCCGCCCCGATTTTGTCCACAATTAATCTTTCTCTGGAGGATGTTCGTCGATCAGTGTCATATCATCCGACCATTTGGGGAGATCATTTTCTTGCATACGACGCAAATGTTATGGTAAGATTCTGATATTCTTTGGTTAATTTTTTTAAATACTAATTACATCTTGTTTAATTGTTGTTCTAGGTTAGAATGATCGAATTATTTGTCGTTTTAAACTACTATTGCAATTTTATATGTACAAAACAAAAATTTATAAGATTTTTATCGTTTTAATTTACCATAACATTAATCTTGATTTTTATGTATTATTAGGAAAGAGATGCATACATACATGATGTAGAAGGTTTAATAAAGATAACACTTGGCCAACACATGAACTATATATTACTTAAAGAACATAGAAACAGAAGAAAAAAAAATCTATAGAGCCATATATACTATTGAGAACAATGATGCTATAAAACCAACTGGTTGGTTCTCTTATGGAACCAACACTCAATTATTAGACAGCTCCATGTAGGGTTGTCTCACATGGAGCCCATGTGGGACAACCCCACATGGAGCAAAATCATTGGGTGTTGGTTCCATAAGGAACCAACCAGTTGGTTTTATAACAACATTGCTATTGAGAAAGAGAAAGAGCAATGTTTTGTTACTAATACATATAACGTTTTCTTATGGAAGTTTTTTTTAGGCATTTATCACTTAATGTATTGATATCTGTTCAAAGCTAGAACACATGTCAATACAATATTTGTGAATACGTGTGGATGACTCCATAAATCATGTTATCCGATGACTCTATAGTAAAATAGTAGGTTAGGAACATTATATTTAGTCCGTTTAAATCAAGATATTTTTTTTTTTTTTTGGGACCTTTAGTTTAAGATTGTAAGGAAAAAAATAATTAATATATATCAATAAATTTTCAATGCCTAAATTTTTTATCATATTAAATTTGGTATTATTATAATCTATATATATAATTATTAGCTAATAGCATTTAATAAAACCTATTTAATTTTACCTATGTGGCAATTTAACCATTTCCCTCAAAAAACCGTTACTTTTGATGTATTTAATCTTTCATTCAATTATTAAATAACCAATACTAATCAATTCAAAATTACAAAAAATATTTTAAACTTTTGATTAGTGACAGTTGACCATATAAATAAATTTAAATAATGTGATTAGTATTATAATGTGATTAGATGATATTATTGTGGTTAAATTTAAATAATTTTTTTAAATAAAAAATATATTTGAAATTCCAAAATAAATAATAAATAATTCACAAAAAAAAATGTACCAAAATATACATTACATCCAATCAGATAAACACAATTTAAAAAAAAATATTTCAACTCCTTTAATTATAAATTTAGCCTGCAAAAAAGTGAAAAAAAATTAATAATTATATGCATACAAATAACTACCAATACTTTATTTACAGCTGTGCAAATGCACAAGGTCTAATACTAGTTAAGATTTTAATATCTGAAATTTGTTATCATATTAATTTTATTGTGTTATTTAAATATGTATATAAAATATAAGTGCACTTACTTTTTGTATATGATAAAAAAAATATATTATATTCGTCAAATTTTTTTTATAGAATTTTGATTTTTATTATTTTATCATTGCACTTTGAATATTTGAATTTACATGTTCTGTATGTTTAATATAAAATTTTAAATTTCAATTTGAATGTTGATGAATGGACGTTAGACTTATTAGAGTTTCTCTCGCTTCTCTAAAATGGAGCAAAATATTGGAGTAGCGTGAATATTAGAATTTCTTCAACACTCTGGAAAATTTTGAATCATTTCAAAAATTGAATCGAAATCACTCTTAATCGAAAAATAAATGTTGATCGTTTGGCTTTTTCGAAGCGAGAAAATAATTAGTACAGTTTTAGAGATTTTACAAATATCCGTACTGAAAACCGAACCGTCTCGTATCGTACCGAGAACCGAACCCTGCTCGAATCCGGCCTAGTCAAACCTGTTTGACCACAGGTCCGGGCCTGTATTGGATTCCAATTGGGCTGGTCCAAGGCTTGTCTTTGTCGACCATGACCCGGTGGGTCGGGGGCACAGAAAAACACATTATTTTTACTTTTTTCTTTTTAAAAAAAAAAATTGGGCGGGCCCAAATTCGGTTCGGGCCCGGACTCGGCACGGACCTATGCCGTGCCGGTTCTAATCCACGTAACCCAACGTTACCCTTGAGCCCGCCATTTGGCCATGTAGGAAAAAATATTAGATTTTTCGCCCAACGTTACAGATTTAGGAATTTAGCCAAATGGTGGAAAAAAATTAAATTTTATCAACAATATATTATATACCATGTCAATGTTACACGTTGTAAAAAAATAGAGAAAAATTTAAAACTAGTCCAATAGGTATATGAAGGTGACAATTTTGGTCCCAACGGGATGCAGAAAATATGAATAGTCCTATAACTTTTTAAAAATGATCAAACGTAGGACTTTTTTGCCGGATTTACTACTTTCGGCCCGGAATGCCACGTCGCGTACATGTGACTCATTTTTTTACACGAGCTGTGGGACTATTCATATTTTTGTGCATACCTGTGGGACTAAAAATGTCGCACTCCATATACACGTGAGACTAGTTTTGAATTTTTTCCTATCTACGTCGGATGCCAGCGTGTAAGAAAATAAGCCACATGTGCGCCACGTGGCGTTCCGAGCCGAAAATAGTGATTCCGGCAAAAAAAGTCCTACTTTTGATCGTTTTTAAAAAATTGTGGGACTATTCATATTTTTTGCATTCTGTTGAAATCAAAATTGTCACCCCTATTCATGTGGGACTAATTTTGAAAATTTCCAAAAAAAATAGCAACGAAACTTTGGCAATGGCAACTAACGAAATTGTGAAAAAAAAAAAATCGGTGGCAAAAAAAAAGAAAATAAAAAATATGTAAATTTTGGCACAACGTATTTGTCATTATTCAACTTTGATTTATTAATATACTAGTACAACACCCGTGTATTACACGGGTGCTTGTTAAAAAATTATTCTTAAATTTTAAAATTAATGAGAAAACTATAAGAAATTTATTTTACTTTTTTACAAAAAAAAAAAAATATTACTATATATTTTAGAATGATATGTGTTACTTATGACTTACATGTGTTATATTATATTAGTTTTTTATAACTTATATCATATAACTACTTGAAATATAAATATATTAGTTGATAAATAATTTTATTTTTCTAATTAATATTAAAAATAATTTTATTATTGTTATAAAGATAAATATAAATTATTTTTTTATACATACAATATTGATGTTAAATCGAAGTTAATTTGATATATTACATATGTAAAACTGATAAAAAATACAAAAGTTATTAACTTTTAAAATATATATACAATTCAATAGTTATAATAAGAAATAATATAAAAATGTAATTAATACATGTAACATGACCATAAATAATCAACATATTTATGGTAATCCGAACCTAATTATTTTTTGTTTGGAATTAAATTAAAATTTATCTAAGCCTAATAACGAAGCATGTAATTTTGCCACATAGAATTCCGAAGAACCAGAAGCAGCCACGTAGGCTCAGCGCGTTCTGAATTAATATATAGGTATAAGCGGGATTTATTCTTTTGAAATTCTTTTTCAGAATTTCAGGGAAAGTTATAACAAAAAGTAGATCCTTGATATGATACTATTATTTTCAACAATATATGAGACTTGTATATATAATACGTAAAATTGGTTAACATCTTCTTATGTAGGAAACCTCAATTGGAGAAGAGCAAGAACATGGACGAAAGAAAGAACTCGTGAAGGCGATGCTTGATCACACACACGATGACTCGTTGCATAAGTTAGAACTCATAGATTCAACCCAACGGCTTGGAGTGTGTTATCATTTCGAAAAGGAAATCGACACATCGTTACGAAATATCCACGACACTTTCCTGAAGTGTGACGACCAAGATAACGATCTTCGAACTGTTGCTCTTCGTTTCCGCTTACTCAGACAACATGGCTACTATATTCCCTGCGGTGCGTACTTAATATTATATATAGTTCAGTTCGAAATGTACCTTCTTTCAAGACAAGCTAACCCTTTTTTTCAATAGTGCAGATGTTTTCGACAAATTTATAGACCATGATGGAAATTTTAAGGAGGAGTTGATGAATGATGTGGAAGGGATGTTAAGCTTGTATGAGGCAGCACATTTTGGAGTACAAGGAGAGGACATTATGGACAAAGCATTACGAATTTCTTGTTCTATCCTCAAGTGTTTGCCTCGTGACACGAACAAATCTCTGTCTGCACAAGTCAATGACGCGCTTAATAGCCCAATAAGCAAGAGTGTGACAAGGTTGGCAGCCAGAAAATATATTTCTATGTACCAAGAAGACGATTCGTATGACGATTTACTATTGAATTTCGCCAAATTGGACTATAACATAGTTCAAAAGATGCATCGTAAAGAGCTGCGCAACATTATGAGGTTAGATTCAGATTTAATGCTTTATTCTTTGTTTCATATAAATTTGATTTTTTTTAAAGGCAAAATAATTTTGTTGTAGGTGGTGGAAGGATTTAGACTTTGCGAATAAATTGCCGTTTGCAAGAGACAGATTGGTGGAATGCTACTTTTGGATAGTGTCGGTATATTTCGAGCCCTCATTAGACATTGCTAGAAGAATATTAACCAAAGTCATAGCCTTGGCTTCCACCATTGACGACATTTACGATGTTCATGGAACGCTTGACGAGCTCCTAGTTTTCACTAGCGCCATTCAAAGGTTTGCTTTCTAGAAAATTTTAAAGTTCTCAAGTTACAATACAAACATATTATATATTTCAATATATTTGTTTTAAAATGAAATTTATCTATGTAATTGTATTACCAGTTGGGATGCTCAAGCCATGGATCAATTGCCGACATATATGAGAACTTGCTACAAAGCGCTTTTAGATGTTTATGCTGAAATGGAAGAAGAAACGAAAAAGGCAGGCACATCGTATAGAGTACAATACGCGAAGGAAGATGTACTAACTCAGATACACCTCTTTTGTTACAACTACTACCACATCTGTTGTGATGTTTATATTTTGTTGTTCTTTGGGAAATTTGCAGATGAAAAAATTAGTGAGGTCATATATGGAAGAGGCGAAATGGTTTTATAACAAATATACTCCGACAATGGAGGAGTACATGAAGGTGGCACTAATATCTAGCGGTTATATGATGTTGTCGACAACTTCATTGGTTGGTATTGGAGATTTAGTTACTCGGGAGGACATTGATTGGGTTTCAAACGAGCCAGTAATCGTACAAGCATCGTCTACAATTGCTAGGCTAATGGACGACATAGTAGGATATGGGGTATGTAACAAACAACAATGTATAACTTTGGTTTATATACATTTATATATCTTCGCTAAAACTAATTAGAAATGATATGAGAAACTAAAACTAACTTTTGATTTGCTTTGTTGTTACACTCAGTTCGAAACAAAATTGTCGGCAGTGCATTGTTACATGAAGCAAAACAGAGTTATGGAGATTGATGATGTGGTTAACGAACTTGAAAAACAAGTCAAGAAAGCATGGAAAGATATAAATCTCGAATGCCTTGGGCCAAAGAAGGTCTCTTGGAGAGTCCTAAAGAACGTGCGCAACCTTGCGCGGCTGATAAATCTTGTGTATGCAGATGAAGATGGATATACCAATCCCAAAGCTAAGGTGAAAGACTACATTACGTGCGTACTGGTAGAGCCCGTGACAATGTAATTACCAAACATAATTGCTGCAAAAATTCTCCAGACAACAAATTTGCTGCAGAATTTCAATAAGAATCAATTTATATTTTATCAAGTGTACTAATACTTTAATCATGAAGTCTATCATATATTGACACTGAAAATCTGGGATTAGCCACAACTAGCTTGCAATTCTCATGATTAGTTAATTTTAACCAAAGTTACCTCGGAAAGATTAGCACGCTGTGTTGTAGATGATGTGTCCTACAATACAAACTGGAGCACCTTCAAATAAGGTGTTGCATTGTTAAAATGTAAAAAAAGTGCAAAACTCAAGTACTAAAGTAAGGCGCTTGACAAATTAAACATGCGAGATACATTGATTCTACAGCTAACAGCTTTAAACATTTCTGTTCAGATAATCCGGACACCAACTTTTGCATGAAACGTCTTTTTTGTTAAGCTGCCCACGTGTTTTTATTGGGGTCGTTTAACACTCTCCCAGTATAATTTATTTCCCACTTTATCAATTATCTTCGTCTGACTGTCGTATAGTTTTTTCGCACTTTATCGATTATTTTCACATGGCTGTCTCGCACTTTATCAATTATATTAGTATGTCTTTCGCATGGCTTTTTGCACTTTATCAACAATGTGTTTCGCGCTTTATGAAGTGAAATAGTTAACTTACTATTTGGCTGCGCGAAAAGCTTATTCGTTCTACAGGACGGGAGGAAGTGAAAATAGTCATTTCCTCAAAATAAAATCTCAATATAAGTTGTGTCCGTACTCGAAGGCATTATTCGTTGTTTCCGTGTAGGGTCCAAATCTCTTTGGACAGTACCTCAATTTTTGCCAACAAAAAAAAAACGAAATCGATAATGTCCTAGTTCATGAATGTATGCTGCTCAACTCTAACTCTAACTCCTATTTAAGGGACTCATACAAAGTATATAGACACATTAATTACATTCCCATTTCCCAATACCTTCGAGTTTCAAATTCCCAATTTTGCAACCCCCACGTGAATAAAAAAAAAAAAGACATGTCGAAAAAATGGCTAAGAAGACTAGTGAACCGGACCTCTGGTCGCCGCTGCTCGTTTGGCCGGAACCCGTTGAGAGACTGTGCATGGACGATATGTTGTCCAAATACTGCGGCGAGTTCGGGAGGTGGCAGCTGAAGCACTTTGTGCTGACGAGCATGGCTTGGGCGCTCGAGGTCTTTCACACCATGGTCGTGATATTTACTGACCGTGAGCCAGCCTGGCAGGGCTCGGGAGCCGGGGTTAAGAGTGTTTGCTAGCTGGAACCGGGTTCATGGGAGTGGGTCGGGGGACCCGGAACGTCAACGGTTGCGGAGTTTGGGTTGATTTGTTCGGAGAAGTATAAGGTTGGGTGGGTCCAATCCTTGTTTTTCATCATCTCTATGCTAGGTTCGTTTCTATTTGGTTCGGTGATTCGGTCTCTCGTTTATTTATTTTACCCCTTTAGTTAGTGACTATATTACTGTCAACTAGTGAAAAAGGGACAAAACAACAGTATACTGAGCCACATTAGACGAGGACAAATTATGGACTGAAACTGGTAAAAAGGACAAAATGATTTTTAGTTGGATTAATGGAGTTTGGAGGCCAATGCAAGTTGAATTTCAAATTTTAGTCAAGTCACAATATCAGTGGATAATCCAATCCTCAATACAAGCTAATTTGTACTTCAATTGACACATTAATTTTTGACACGTGGTCTTCTCCTTTTCAGGCGCAGGAGTACTCGGCCGCCTTTCCGATTCGAGACTCGGAAGAAAAGGCGCCCTCTCGATCGTTTGCATCCTCAACGCCTTCTTCGGCTGCCTGACCGCCCTCTCTCCCCCAACTACACCGTCTATGCCTTCCTCCGCTTCCTCGGCATCAGCCTCTGTGCCTTCGTCCTCACCACCGAGCCCGTGGGCCCCACCAAGCGCGGCCTCACCGGCATGTCCACCTTCTACTTCTTCTCCAGTGGCATCGCCCTCTCTGGCATCGCCTACTTCATCATGTCTTGGCGGGCGCTCTACTTCGCGGCCTCCCTCGTCTCCGAGTCTCCCCGCTGGTGCCTCGTTAGGGGCGAAACCGTTCGAGCGACGAACATCATCCGCAGCATCGCTGAGAAAAAACCTCCCCGAAAACGTGACCCTCTCCCTCGACGACGAGTTCACATATGTCACTTCCAAAGAGGAAGCCGTGGTGATGACGGGTTCCTTGATCGACGTGCTCCATTCTCCCGTGATGCGCATCCGCCTTTTATTGACCGCGGGCATCAACTTCTTCTGCTCGGTCGTGTACTACGGATTGAGCCTAAGCATGGCGAACCTCGGGACGAACCTAAACCTCAACGTGTTTCTCAACGCGGTGGCTGAGATGGCAGCATTTCTGCTGACGGCGATCTTGTTGGATAGGTTCGGGAGGAGGCTGTTGAGCACCGAGACCCAATGGTTCAGTGGGGCATTCTGCGTGATCGGGTTTTGTTTGAAGGGGTATGGGGTTTGGAAGACGGCGTGCACGTTGTGTGCGATATTGGCGATATTAGGGATGCCGGCAACGTACAATTTGTTGTTTTTTGCACGGTCGAGCTTTTCTCAATGACGGTGAGGAATGTGGCATTGGGTTTGGCAACTCAAGCGTCCCAATTGGGTGCCATTGTGGCCCCGTTTATCGTGGTGTTCGGGGAGAGGGTCCCGTTGGTCGTATTTGGGGCATGTGGGGTTGCAGGCGGTGCTCTGGCGTTGATGCTGCCGGAGACTCTAAACCGGCCATTATACGAAACGATGGACGGGATGGAAGAGGGGAAAGTTGCGCTCGCGTGATTTTTCATGTTTTTTTATTATTATTGTTTTAATATTTTTGTTTAGTTATGTTGTGAAAGCTATAAATAAGGGGAGATGCTACAGTCTCATTACAAAACTATTCGGTCGGAGTTTGTAATCGTTAGAGATAGTTGATCTACCGGTTACAAACAACGACAGAATGGTTCCGTAACAGGGCCGTAGCTTTTCCCATAAATAAGACTTACAAGTTACAAAGTACTTTTGCAACAGACAATTTGTTCAGTTATGCATGTGCAAGATTATTAAGAAGACCAAAAAGGCCAATGAATCAAGGTGTCACTAAATTGGCATAAATTACATAATCAACTAATATCTCTGGTTATGGAACTATACACATGGACTGGCACTGAATTTAGGAAGGCTGTCCAAAAACGTGAAGCAAACTGCAAGTGTGTGGAGAATCGATTAAAACATGAATGGTGGTGGAGCAAATGCTGTTAATATTGGGAACTGCTGACGTCGTCCTGTCCTGCAACACATCAGATTTACCATCAGCTTCACATATTATAATGTAGGAAGATTATACGGTCTCGTTACGGAACTATTCCGTTGGGGTTTCTAATCGTTAGATCAACTATCAACGACGGTTACATGATGATCTTACGGTTACAAATCTCGACGGAATGGTTCCGTAATGGGACTGTAGTATTTTCCTATAATGTATATATGCACCCAAAAACAAAACCAAATGTTTTTTTTTTTTTTTTTGGCACAGGGACTTCCGGTTTCCGGATCCACAGGGGAACCGACTAATCCGGAATCGAGTCGGGTAGAACCATAAGGGTGGCAAAACTCTCCCTCAAAAGTTTTTACACTGCTGCATTCCCAGGGCATTCCCAGAGTTTTAACAAAACCAAATGTTTTAATACATAGAACTTCTACATTGATATTACCCCCAATAATTAGTATTTTAATAAACATATCATAATTACTTGGTTTCAAGTTATTTTAGACCCCTCCAAATGAAATTGCATTGACAAAATTATCAGGAACAAAAAAAAGACAAATATTTGACAAAATTAAATTTAAGGAATTATGGATCAAAAAGTTTGGCCGGCACCTGGGCCAGCTTTTAACCCATTTGACTTTCAGATCGGGTCAAAAAAGTCCGATCCATTTGGGCCCCAAACCGAAACAATAAAGAACAAAAAAACAACAAATTAATGGAACAAAATCAAAACAAAACAAAAAAAGCAAGATGAAGAACTATATCACACGTACTGTCAAACACAAATTAAATAATAATAATAATAATAATAATAATAATAATAATAATAACCGGGTATCGTCGCAGGAATCAAGAGGAGACGGCCTATCTCTATTCAACATCATCGCCACCTTCCTCTTCAGCCTCCTCCGCCACACCGCCGCCGTCCTTTCGACACTATCCTCCGATATCGACGAGAGTGACGGCCGCCACCTCCGGCGACCGCCCCTCATCCTCCCCCTGCTGCACCGGCGGCGGGTTTCAGGCACCGCCACCAATCCCCTCCTCTCCGTCCTCGACCCACAACACGTGACGAACTCCGCGAAAAACCTCATCGTAATCGGGGCTTATGATATCAAGAGAGAAGGAGGAAAATGATGTTGAGAAACATCTTAACTGATTATTTTTTATTATTATTATTGATTTCGTATTTATGTTTTTTCTATCTTTGCCAGACTGTGATTGGGGCCAAATATGATCCTTTTTTGTTTGTTTTTTTTTTTTTT